TGAAACCCACCACTGGTCGGTACTTTGCCCCCCGACAACCTGAGTCCTCATTTTACCCACCTCAGAAGGATGGAAGGCTGAGTCAACCCTGAGCCGGTGAGATTTGAACCGCTGACCTGCTGATCTAGCAGTAGCCTGCAGTGCTGCATTTAACCACTGCGCCACCTTGGCTCAATAATAAAATAAGTTATAAAATACATAAATGATTAAAACAACAGCAAATAGATCAGTGGATATACTTTGGCAATATGATTAATGAAGAGGAATATTTGATTAGGAGTTTAAAGGAATTTTTAGTTTTTTCTTCAATTCAGAATGGTCCCCATCTTCTTACACCGGGGTCTCCCCATCATTTATTTTATTTAGACAAATTGCACATTCTTTTCAGATGCTAAAACTGAATGCAAACAAAAGACGGTTAGAATGCATGCTGTGTCTGGATTAAAACATGGCCAACCGAAAACCCTCATTTGTGTCCAGTCTGATTGTCAAGATAACTGTCAGGCCTTTTATGAATATTTATGACTATCATATCTGAGCTGAGACATTTCTGTACTTTTTTGCTGCTATCGAACAATCTTCCAGATTTTTCAGTCTCGATATGATAGGCCTATTGAAACTGGGCTTTAGTCTTTCTCCTAGTGAAACTGGGCTTTAGTCCTGAGCAAAATTGAGCATAGGACTAAGAGCTGAACCAATTTCATGCCTCATCATTTGCAGTGCCCTTTGTCCCATATAACATTTACTATGCAACGCACCCCTGTTTATTTTAAAGCACTGATTCTTTTATGGGATACAAACACTTTATGGAAATTTATAATATAAAAGTATTTTCAATTCCAATGGCAGTTTTTAAGACAGCTGCCATATCCCAGATCTGTTCTAGAATCAGAGAATATGTTCCAACTACACCTAAGATCTGAATATAGGAAAAGCATAGAAAGGAAGAAGCATGTTGTACATGTTCAGAGATGCTTGCTTTGTTACAGTTGTGTATGTAAGAGCTCTGGCATATATCTGAAAATGTGCTTCTTGAAATCTAGTGAGCCTAGGCAGAAACCAAAACTCCAGTGAAAGATGTCACAGTTCCTGAATACCTTTTCCTGTCGGAGAGATTTTGATCAGGTCTCTCTCCTGTCGTGAAGAGCCAGGAGATTTCAGCGCCTGTTTACCCTTCAGTTAATAAATGAACAGGAATCAACACAACTTTCTAAACGTGCAGAGATTTTGAATAATTCTGGCTCCAAAAGTTCTGAGGCATATGTGTGTGTATGAGAGCACAAGGGGAAGAACTCAGCATTAAAAAATTCTTCCCTCGCTGTAAGGGGCATTCACTGAGATGCTCCTCCCACCACTGTCTCCACCACAGGTGGAGTGGGCTGGCATTTGACTGTAAAACTGGAGAGAACTGGGTTGAGTTTGCATTCTGGTTGCTGTCAAAAAGCAAGCTTGGAGAGCTATCGTCTCCTGCACAAAGCTGCTTGCCACCCGGAGAAAGATGTATCAGTGGCTTTGGCTCCTTGGAAAAGTTCTGCTCTTGGTGAGAGTGGCTGCCTCAATTAACTTCGTCCATCACCGCTATGAGGAATTGGTGCAGGCGCTGTTCGATGTAAGGGGCTCATGCCCCTATATTACCAGGCTGTACAGCATTGGGCGCAGTGTGCAGGGCCGCAACCTCTATGTGCTGGAATTCAGCGACTCTCCTGGCATCCATGAGCCCAGTAAGTGTGCCCAGACGTATATCTCTTGTATAGTTGAAGAGATGCTTCTTTCTGCTCTGCCTGATCAATGCACAATTGGGTTCAGTGTGGTGCTGGAATCTCCATGCCTAATGGAATCAAGCCAGGGCCAAGGTTTTCCTAGTAGAAAGTTTGGTCAAGTTATGGGGAAGGGGAGGGGGGGCTGTGCAAAACAGAACCAGTGTTCAGATTGACTTGTTTAATTAATAGCATGGTTTTAAAAATGTATTAAGCCTCATGACATGCTAGTGGGTTTATTTCCTTTCATGTGAAGGTCTGAGAGATGTGTACTAGCAACCATTTGAGGCTTGTAATTAAGGTAAAATTTAATTCCCATTCCAGAGATTCAACTCCAACTCTCTTTTTTTAATGCCGTACTTTAATTCTACAAAATATTGTAGCTAATTGGACAAAATAAATATTAATCTTGGGAGATGACAAAACCTACACTATCTCTCCCTACACTATCTCTCTCTGCCCTTACACTCATAACTTTGTTGTTGCAAATTGTAGCTTTGATAGATTACACTTTGAATAAGTGGGGCAGAGCCTGACTTTGTAACATGTTGATGCCAATGACAAAGAGGGGGAAATAGAGGCGCCAGACTCATAATTATGCAGCAAGAATTCTAAGTTCAAAGATCATATGTTGAAGCCCTTAATATACCTTTAACAACTAAAGCAAAGGGGTTTTTCATTAGAAGCATTCTGGTTAATGAGTACCTTTCCCAAAGTAGTGTACTTAAGAATTACAGAAGCTGAAGTTCAACATATCTGGGGGATGCCAGACTGGAAGAGACTAGTCTACTGCTAACCATTATCCAGTAGATGTCAGGCAAAAATATTTTTTATTCAACTAGGCATTGTAAAATTATTCATCAGTTACATTAAGCACAAGAGCAGATAATTAAAATTCTTTAGACAATCCTTTTACTTCTGCCTTTTTATTTTTATGACATTTTATGGTCTTTTTTTACTTGTACACCCCAAAACCTAATTTAAAAAGCTGTATTTGTTTTTAGTAATTTAGTAAATGTTCATTTCTCTGATGTGCAAAGTTCAGCATTTTCCAGTATGATATAAATTGTTTTATGCATGAATCCTACAAGATAGATAACAGTAATAACTAGTAAGGTTTCTTACCACCAAGATTAGCAGGTAAGCCATTATAATTCATGTAAAGAAATCTCATAGACCAACTGGTTCAAAGATTTTTAAGGATACAAGAAGAGGAACACAGAACTAATGAAGAATGAATAGGGAAAAAGAGGCTGGGATCAGCTGCAAGTTTCGTCAAGGGATTCTATTATGTATACATGGATCCCCCCTTATAATCTACAGAAACATGTTTTATTCTTTTGTGCATAAAGTATGACTACCTATATTTGCAGATATATTGCCTACAATTCTAGAGACTTCTGTACATAATTAATATCCTTCTTCCTGTAGAAGGGCCTTCTCAGAGCCTAATAATTGTTTTTTTGCATCCTGCAGGGTACATGTAGAGAAAAGGGGGCCATCTATGGGGGAAGCAGTTTTACATAAATGAATTTGAGGCTAAACCATGCTGATTTTATTTTGCAATTTACTTTAACCCCTGTAAAGCTTTAGAAGGCTGGAATGTGACATTCCAGGAGATAAGCTGAAGAGGAACAATGGAAGGGGCCTTTGGATGCCCTGTATGAAATAAAGAAATAGAGACCCTGATTATGTGGTTGTGACTGTGCCCTACTTTCAATTCTCCACCACAGGAAAAGATTTGCCCCCAGGATACATACCATTCTCATACAATGCACTGCTTCTTCCCATTTTCTCCAACCACAGATTCCTGTCCATTGCCCTGTACTTTAAGTTCTGTATGAGAGACAGCAATTGACCTCTATTGGTTTGACAGTGAACATGTGGCCTGAAGAAGCACATAACCTCACAATGAGCTTCTTTCCACAATACAAAAGGCTACTGCTATAGTTTCTCACCACAGAATGCCATTTGGGAATCCATGCTGCTTCCCCCTCCTGCTTGACCTCAATGTTTATGCATTAGCACCCAGTTGTGTTGAATCCATCTACTCTGTTCCAATGTCAACAAATGTCTCCCTTTCACAGTGGAGCCAGAATTCAAGTATGTGGCAAACATGCATGGGAATGAGGTACTAGGCCGGGAACTGTTGCTCCAGCTTGCGGATTTCCTGTGTGAAGAGTATCGCCATGGTAATCCACGCATTACACAGCTCATCCATGAAACACGCATTCACCTCTTACCTTCGATGAATCCTGACGGATATGAAGTGGCAGCTGCCCAGGTACCAGGCAAGCATCCCTTTTTTATTTCAATTGTCATGGTAAAAGCAAAAGTTTATTTTAAGGCAGTTAAGGGAGAGATGTGTAGGAAGTGCAATTTTCAGAATGTTTAGTTAGTTCCAGCACTTTTGGAGATATCAAATTTGGGGAAGCCAAAGTCACAGACAATAGCTCTAAATCAAACTTTATTCATTGCAACAGCTGAATTAAATTTCTGTGTCAAAAGGCAATAACATCTTGAGAATAGACTCAAGTGACTGCTACAGAATATTGTATAAACTTTTCATGATTGCTTGTTTGTGATCTTCCAGAGACATATAGCTTGCAGCTACTAAGAACTTATAAGTGAGACAGTTGGATCTTAATCTGATTTAGAAGGCAACATATGGCAGTACTATGTAGTAAAAAGTAGAACATATGCTTTGAATGCAGAAAATATTTTGGTATCTACTGGTAAAAAAAGTAGGGCTTGTGCCAGTCAATATCAACAATACTCACTTTTGGTCATGGATGCTGAGCTGTAGCAAAGCTGCCCCAATCCACTATGATTTGATGATGTCATAGTTGCAGACCTGTAAATTTCAATCTTCCCCCATATTTTCCAGTGATTGGTAATAGTGCACTTAACACAGTTCCAAACTGTTCTGATCATTTATCGTTTTGCATATTCTGTGTAGTTCATTGTTCTTTCGACAAAAGATCTTTGAGCAGGGCAAGTGACATTGATTAGTAAAGGCAACAGCCAATTTCCCAGTGCAAGGGAAAATTGATTCCTATAATTCAAACTGATTTATTGGGGCATAAAAATAAGGGAATTTCAATTCTGCATTTCATGTTTATGCCCTGTAGCTTTGAATACAGTTGTATTGAAAAAGAGATGTTTCTTAAAATATAATCATCTTTAATTTAGGGTTGTCTGTTGAATTCTGACTATGCTAATCTGTATCAGAAGATCCTGCTCAATAAATATTTGGCAACTATTCTTAGCATCCTGAAATCCAGAAGCTCCTGAACAGCCTTTATTCACTTTTCTGAAAACGCGTATCTCCCTTTTGATGCCTCAAGAGATAAACTAAAATTTGGTATTCACTTAAACGTATCTACAGATTACACAAAAATCTATTATTCTCTTTTTTAGAACCAAAGTTATTTTGAGGATTTCACTGGGCGAAACAATGTCAATGGAGTTGACCTTAATCGTAATTTTCCTGACCTCAACACCATCATGTATTCCAATGAGAAACAGGGTGGACCCAATCATCACATCCCTTTGCCAGATAATTGGGAAAGCCAGGTAATGCCAATCCAATTAATCCCTTTCAAGTAATGTGTGTACTGTATCCACTGTAGTTCATCCACTCATCCATCCTAGTCAGGTGGTTGTAGAAACTTGTGATGGCGGTGTAATGCATGTTATTGTACTCTTACAATACTGCACGAATCTCTACTTTTTTGCCATTCTCTTCACTTTTCTCTAAGAGCCAAATTGCATATGGAGATAACCCAACTGCTTTAATACTCCCCGGATCATAGTCCTTTGGAACACAGGAAGAAGATTTTGTCTGGGTCTCTGTCTGTGTATCTAGATATGGAAAATTAACATATTGAGAATTGGTTCCCAAGTTCTTAAACATCTCTTGGGAACCTAGCAAGGCCATCATTTCTGATGTTAGCCATGTGAAGCCTTATATGTATTAAATAAGATCAGGATGAGTATAAAGTTTGCACACTTTCTTGAGCCTATGGATGTATGTACATGCCTGCCCATGGGCATGCGTGCATGTATGCCTTCACATGCTGCCTTCAAGTCAGCATTGTCTCCTGGTGACTGCCTGGGCTAGTCCCTACAGTTTTCTTGGCCAAAATTCAAAAACAGTTTGCTATTGCCTCCTTCCAGGGCTGAGAGAGTATGACTGGTCCAAGCTCATCCAGGTAAGTTTTGTGCCTAAGGCAGGACTAGAATTTCCAGTTCCCCATTTCCCAGGCTTCCAGTTTCTAAAATGCAGAATCATGACTAGATTCACATATTGTCCTAAGCCATGAGTTGCTTAAGGATGATTTGCTGAATAAGCCACAATGGGCTGGACATGTTAAAACATAAAGTTTGTGAACCTTAATGGTTGTGGGATTCCTGCAACAGATAATTTTAACCACTAAATAGTCTTCAATAGTGCGTTGTTGTTTTTTTGCTCTGTGAATGAGTATGTGTCTGTTTGTGTGTATGGGAGTGTATGGAAGGGAGGTAGGGAGGGAAGAAGAGAGGGAAGGAAGGAAGGAAGGAAGATGACAAACAAGAAAGTCAGATTAATTAGTGTGCACTTAAGATCTTTGCTCATTACTTATTATTTAGATACTTGTGTGTTGAGTATTTAATAGATACCTAATGCATTTTACAAAATTTTTGTCAGCTGCTTAGAGTCACTTAAAGTGAATGGGTGGCCATATAAATTATCTAAATAAATGAATAAAATTAGCATTGCAACAGCAAAATGGAAAACATAAGCAAGACAGAGTCAGATAAACCACTCTTCTCCAATAAAGCTGTCAATTTGGCAGACTAAAATTCTGCCAAAATTTTGTTTTAATGGATGGAGTCTGTATCTCATTGCAACCAAGAACATTTTTGTGGTACATGAAAGCAGGCAAAAGATTTCCCATTTGATCTCAATAAGAGGCAAGCAAGGATGGTAGTTGAAGAGACAATGCCTCAGACATTGCCATTTAGGGCTTTCAAAATAATTACCAATCTATTAAACTCTGTCCAGAAATCAATTAGCAATTGGTCCAAGGACAAAAGGAAGGATTTAAAGGGTTTTGTAAATGGGCACTTGCTTACTTTGTTAATAATGTCCAAGGCCAGAAAATTCTGAGATTAGAGAGCAGTCATTCAGACATTTTTATATCTGCATCCTGGGTATGTTCTCATGGGGGCAGTGCTGCAAGTCTGAACAAATTAGAAGTATTAAGAATCAGGTTGAGCATCTGGCTTGGTATTTTGTGTATTTCTGACAGGTAGAATCAGAGACATTGGCTGTGATTCAATGGATGAAGAGTTACAATTTTATTCTCTCAGCCAATCTTCATGGTGGAGCTGTAGTTGCCAATTATCCCTATGACAAATCCCATGAACAGAGAATCCGTGGCAACTGGCAAGCAAATAGCACCCCCACGCCTGATGATATCCTCTTCAAAAAGGTGAGAAATGTCAGGGATAATAAAAACAAGATGAAATGGATTCAAATCAATGTCTGTGTAGAACAAAGGCTCTCCTTTAGGAGGTAATTAGATGCTGGCTACCTTCACATCTAACCTGACCTCAGGTTGGTTCTGCACATCAACATGACCAGTGTGGAAACCGACAGTAGAATATACCAGCTTAAGTGTGACTGCACTTTGGACAAATACCCAGTCTTGGGAATTAATCTGAATAGAGATTCTATCCAAATTGAGATCCTGGGAGAGAATTCAGATGGGAATGTCTCTTCTGTTCCTGGTTATCTTTGGTGCTCTTTTGCATCAGTTCTCAAAGCCCAAGGATAGGGTCAAAGAGCTTGCATCAAGTGAGTCATCCTCCCCTATTTCTTCCACCTTCACTTCCCCACCCTTGTCCTCCTGCCATTCATGGCAAGAGAATATTAGGAGAGAAGCAGTGTGGGATTCAGCCAGTTTGCACCTATTTGGGAGAACCAGTTGGTAACTTTCCAGGCAGTTCAGAGAACCAGTTGTTGGAAGAAATCTCCTTTTGTTTTTCTTCACTTTACAGGGCTAATCCTGTAAGGAAGACAGGAAGGAAACATTCTGGTGTTGTTTCTAGCCTCATCTTTGTTGACCTGGTTACAGAAACTGTCTCTCCGGTTAATCATGATTACATTGTAAGAGCTAAGGCGAAGCGCCCATTGACGGGAGTGATGTTGAGTTGGCCATACCCACCCAGTCACGTGACCACTGAGCCCCACCTACCCAGCTGGTCATTAGGGCAGAGAACCAGTTGTTAAATTATTTGAATCCCACCACTGGAGAGAAGAGACCCAGCCCTTCTTTCTTTCCGCCCATCCTCCTGATCACTTACCAAGAGAAGGTAGAGGAGGAAAAGCGGGTCCCCTTATATCTGTGGAGATTCTCAATCATCCAGGCCATAGTTGTCCCAAAAGTACTTTTTCAAGAGGCAACCGGGTTTCTTTTCTCTCTCTCTCTTTTTCTTTGAAGAGGTTTCGCTTCTCATCCAAGAAGCTTCTTCAGCTCTGACAGGTCATGTGATCATCTGCATTCTTTTTCTTCCATTCCCCACCATCCCGTCAGAGCTGAAGAAGCTTCTTGGATGAGAAGCAAAACCTCTTCAAAGAAAAAAGAGAGAAAAAGAAAAACAAGAAAATCCAGTTGCCTCTTGAAAAAGCACCTCTGGGTCTCTTTATCCTTTTTGGTGTGAATGAATGCAATAGAACTGCTCTTCCAGGGTGCATGCTGTATACTGTTTAAAACAAACTCCTCCCTCGGGGCTTTAGTGCTATGATGCCAAAACCACTGTGAGGAATTTTAAATATTTATCCAGTTATATTTATGCATATCCAGCAGTCTTATGAAATATTGCTGGATATATATAAAATAATATCTTTGCAGTTTTGGCATTGCCACACCAATACATGGAGAAATGGACAGCTGAGATGAGGGGAAGTGCCCCTTCAGCTGGCATCATTCTGTAAAGCAGAATTTCCATAGTAGGAGTGAATCCAATAATGGGTCTAGAAGAAACTGGTACCAAAAGACCATTTCTCTCCTTCCCGTGGTGTATGAGAAGGGTGATGAAGGAGAAAAGAGTAAAATGACTCATTTTCTCTCTGTTCTCTGATCCTGGCATAGATCCCTCTTTTTAACCTTTCTTAGGGGAAAGGGGTCATTTAAGTGCCTGGAGAACTAAAATCCTCAAAATCCTGCTTTCCTCATCCACTTCCCACTTCCCCTGCCACTCAAGAGTTGAAAGAGAAAGGGGAGATGTTAGATCGGGTAATGGACAGGCACACATAGGCTAATAAACATAAGCTAATATAATAAACAGCTCTTTATTATAACACAACAAGTATGAACAATCCAGCGAAGGTTGAATCTGACAGCAGCCCTTTTATAGGGAGCTGTCAGACCCTTCGACCAATGAGATTAAACCTCTATTCCCGCCGGATCAGAGGACCTTGGTGGAAACCATTATAACTGAAGCTAGTATCTAACAGGAGAGATGATAATTTGGGGGCGGGGGCACAGTGTGAGAGCAAAACAAATATCAAGGCATCCCTGAAATAGGCTAAGATAATCAACAGCAGCAGGCCAGCTTCCTTCCCTAGACTGACCTCAGAACATTTCATGGCAGACTACTTAGCAAAGCCTATGCTGGAAGAAACAGAAAAACGCCACTTCTATGAACTGAACGATGGAGAGATGCACAGAGGTCATCTAAGTGATAGTCTGGAGACAGATTGAGAACATCATATATTAATATCCTTAATTAACAGTTAATGGGTTATCTTTATACTGTGACATGCAGATATGAGGATGAATTCCTAATATTGAAAGTGAAGTGTCCAGTTGGATAGTAAAGTCAGAACTGAAAAAAGGATGTGTTCTAAACATGAAGGAAGGAACTGTAATAAGATGGAGGGGGGAAGCTTAAAATGCAAACAGAATGCAGCTGCTGTGAATACTGTGGTACTGTAGACATTTTATGTCACATCCCAGAGTGGCTAGTGATCAGTTCTGTGTTTTAATTCTGATTCCCTGATTGTTTCCCCCTGGAATGTGTATGAAGTAACTAGTTCTGTTGTAAATAATACTACTAGAGTCCTTGTATATATTTAATATTACAAGTCTTTGTTCAATTTGCTCTGGGAGCTCTGAACTTGATCCTCAGGCCAAATGACTAGTATTGCAATATATCTTGTGTAGTACAGGACAATACTGATAATTTAAAAATTGCAATGAATATTTATGCTTGTTTGCAATAATGACTCTTAGCCAGTTATTGGATTCCTTCCAGTTGTACCATGAGAAAGGCTGAGGAGAAACGTCAAGGGGAAAAATGCAAGGAAGCCAACTCCTACACAGGCAGGAAAAAAAATAACATTTTTTAATAGACAATCTTTTTGAATGTAGTGCTGACTTTTCATTTTGAGAAAGCTTTCAATATATTATTCTGGATTCTATTAATTGATATTTTTGATGTTTTAACTATTATTATTCCACTGCTGGGTTTTTTATTTGTATTTGCTATGTACTACACTACTTCTGTAGATGATAGCGGAATAAAACTGTTTTAAATACATTATTTGATTGGCCCTGAATGGCAATGAATAATCCAGAAACTGCCAAAAAGGCTGATTTCAAGATGGAGGTGCTGGGCTATTATTAGGAAAGTAAAAATAATCTGGTGATATAATTCCCTATTCAAAGTTATGCATTTGTAAAATTCAATATAACATTGATTTTAAATAATAAATAATAAAATAATAATTGAGAATTGTAGAAGTAGAAAAGTACAACCTAAATTGTGAGTTGTTGGAATAGCCCTCCAGTCCAAGTTGAAAAATTACATTAAGGTTTCTTTAAGTTTGTTCATTATCTCTAACAATATATATATAAAGAAAATAATTATTTCTTCCTCTCCCCCCTCTCCTCCTCCTTCTCCTCTTCCTCTGCATAAGAACATTAAAAAAGCCCAGTGTGATTAGACCACAGGCTTATTCAACCCATTTTATTTCATAGCAATGAACCACTTATCATTGAGAAAGCTATGGTAGACTTTCTCTTTGTTCCAGAAATATATATATAAGTCTACCATAGCTTTCTCAATGATAAGTGGTTCATTGCTATGAAATAAAATGGGTTGAATAAGCCTGTGGTCTAATCACACTGGGCTTTTTTAATGTTCTTATGCAGAGGAGGAGGAGAAGGAGGAGGAGAGGGGGAGAGGAAGAAATAATTATTTTCTTTGGCTCTTTCACTGTATGCTGTGAATGTTTATGTTTTTTTCTTGTTTTGCTCAGAACAGCATTGAATCTGCTATATAATATGATAGGATAGCTTTTCTTAATGGGAAGTGAGGACACTAATATTGCAAAGGGGATATTATGGTCTTCTTTTTTACCTTTTTAGATCTAGAGTCTATTTCCAGCTTGCAATGTGACTGGACAGGTGAAAATATATGACCATCTTAACATTTTCTTTCCAGTTGGCCAAGGTTTATTCTTTTTCCCACGGATGGATGCATCGGGGTACAAACTGTGGAGATTTCTTTATTGATGGCATCACTAATGGGGCATCCTGGTACTCACTCAGCAAAGGTAAGGCAAAATGGGACAAGAGAAAGAGAGTAAGTATGTTTTGGAGAGAAGATTTTGAAATGTCCCATTGTGTAAGAGTGATAACCTTTAGAATGGTTAGAAAAGTTCCCTACTTTGGAGCATTGTTGTTTTGATCTTTGGTCCTCATACTCAGATATCATCAAGAGACACCTTTTCTCCATCCTTTTAGTTGGTGACATTTAGCTCAAAGGGATGCTTAAGTCTTTTTATCAGTATACATATCTGTCCTTCAGGGATGCAGGATTTCAACTACCTGCACACCAACTGCTTTGAAATTACCCTTGAACTAAGCTGCAAGAAATTCCCGCCACAGGAGGAACTGGAATTTGAATGGCTGGCAAATCGGGAGGCCCTTATTGCCTACATAGAGGAGGTAACAAAATTATGACACAATATCATTCTGCTTTTTGGCAAATCTTTTTAAAAAGTTGATCCCCTCTTTTTTCATGCTTGTAAGATGTTACATTAAATAATGAGGCCTTGATTTGACTATTTGGCAGTGGAATACCAAGGGCAAGGCAAAGGGGCTAGTCTGCCCTAGAAATAGGCAATGAGAGTTGCATTGTCTGCCAACCTGGTGATGACAAGGAGGCTATCCAGAGTATTGGTGGTGCATGTGAAGTCAGGTCGGTGTTGCTGATGTATCTACCAGCTGTTTGGCTGTTAACAGTGCAGCACATTAATGACAATGGGTGGAGCTCCCATTGGCTAATATGCCAAGTATACCACTGTTTTTTGAATAGGGGGATGGGGCATCTATTAAACCTGAGTGCCCATTGAACTTGAAGGTGCTCTTGAATATTCATAAAAAAGCCTGTCTGCTACTTTGCACATGTTTGCACAAAAGTATGTTTCTTACCAATCCTCATACTTCTATCGTCTCAGTTTTTTCTTGCCACTGCTGCACACCTCCACCAATTTGCCCAGTGCTTTTCTGTCAGCCCCTATATTGTTCCAAATCTCCCAGTGCCTTCCCACCATTCCTGTACTACTTCCACCGTCTCCCAGATTTTTTCCTAACTCTTCCTAGAGATAATACAATTCTGATTAGATATGCGCAGACTCAGTTTTTTTTCTTGTTTGTCTAATAAATGAATGTAGAATACATGAGAACCTAGAACTCTGTCCAGAGTTTCAGATACAGTCTTTTCTTCGGGAAGGCCTTTCTATCTATTCTGAAGCTGCTGATGGATGAACCTGGGACTTTCTGAACATACCACATTTATGTTTTATCATAAATCATTGTGAACTGGGAAAAGATCTTTTCTCAGACCAGTAAAGAAGCCCTATCACTGATGAAGCTTCAGACAAAATGACTTGTTACTGTATTCTTCCTAAGTACCATGATCTTAGTCCTACTAAGGCTGTTCAGCATTTCTGTTGTGCAGATTCACCAGGGCATCAAAGGGCTGGTGTCAGATGAGAACAACAACAAACTTGCAGGAGCTGTAATTTCTGTGGAAGGAATTGGCCATGATGTCACCACAGGTTGGTATTCAGCCTAACATAAGTTAAAAGTGTTCTGCCTCAAGCGTTGTAGGCTTGCTCGAGGCATGCAATTAACTTCACGTTTAGGAATCTCTTTCAGGCATTCTTAATAGCAAAACTTGGAGTTCAGTATTAAGATACTTCTGACTTTCCATGATCTGTCCCATCACGTAGTGTAAAAAGATGATGATTTTATCCCTGCTGAGCGAAGATGTAGAACGCTACTATAGCCAGGCATTTAAACTGCCTGGCTATAAACTTTGCATGTGGGCAAGATGCCCCAGTGGCCAATCATAAACAGAGATGTGATCATATGTCATGGAACTACATTTCCCATAAGGCAGTATCTGCCTACATTTCCCATGCGGTAGTTTCTTAAAGGAGATAGTTCTTAATTCCTACACTAGCTATATACTGCTGGGGCAGCACAAAAAGCTTTTTCTTAAGAGTCCTTAAATTGATTTCAAAGGTATTTACCGCATTGTAATTTGAATTTTAAAAGTTGCTAGAATTTAGTAACACAGTCAGAAATTAAGCAATAACCCTATGAAAGCACTCCCAAAACTGGTTCCTGCCAAATTTATTAGGAGGATTTACTGTATGTACAGTCAGAATTTCCTTTCTGGAGATTTTGAAAGTTGTAATCCTATAACAATATAGGGAACACTTAATATTGTAGCATTGCACTATTAGCTTTAGACTATGTAAGGTATCTACAGTGTATGTTTATGTGAAATATACATGTAGTAAGCTGGTCTGTGGACAGGATTTCTGGAGTTTGTGGTATTTTTTTATTAACTTTATTAAATTAAATCAAATGTTAACCCTAAAAAAGTATGGCTGAAGGATTCTGACTCCCTTAGATTGCATTTCACCATCTAGAAAGACAAGGAAAAACTTACTTTACATCTGGGATTGTTTACTTATCCATTCTTTTTACCCATTCATATATGCTGTATTCAGCTTGAACTTATGAAAATGTCATACAAGAATTCCATGTATGTTGAATTGAAAACATTTAGACCTTCATATGATGAAGGAATAAGGAAGATGTTTATAGAACATTAAACATCAGTCACCTCCATATTTGTTTTCTTCTGCATTCATAATTAATATTTGAACAGAGCTATGGATTCCTTGGAAGTATCTCCTTAATCAAGAGGTCGGTTTAGTTGCTCTTTTGACAACTTACTATTCAATGGCATTTAGTCACTGATGGTTGCAGAAAAAATGTATTTCATGAGTGATTGTCAGGGGATATATCAGTAATTCATTAATTCCAATTCTACTAACAAAATGATGGCATTAGCTAGAAGTTTATCCTAAGTTTCCTCATCTTCAAATGAAGTCTTTAACATCTGAATCTTTTAGTATCTTCTTTTCTCATGTAGGTGAACATGGAGACTACTTCAGGCTGCTACTGCCTGGTAATTATAGAGTTATTGCATCAGCAGATGGTTACCAACCTCAGACTGTGATGGTGACTGTTGGCCCAGCTCAGCCCTCACTGGTGAGTATGGAAGGAAAGAGGAAATACAATTCTCCCACTTCCAAAATGAAGCATGAGTAGAGTAGGGAAGGAAAAAGAAGAAAATATCTGCATGTGTAGGTATTTCCTCAACTGAAGCAACTTGATCTCTTGATTAGTGAAAATACTATGGAAATTGCTTTTCAGCCCAAAAGAATGGTATACCCTTTCCATACTGGAAGGGGAAAAAACATGAAAATACTCGCTACATTTCCTTTAAGTATAAATTATCCACTAGTTATACAGTTTATCTTGGAATAAAGTTAGTTTATAAGAGGCTGGCTTATATAAGAAGCATCAGTTTATGTTTTTGCTATCCAGAAAAAGCTTTGCCTGGGAAAACATTGCAACTAATATGTTTCAGGTTATTATCCATTAACAGCAAAAGTTATTCTTATACAGTAGCCAGGACTTTGATGCCCCATTATTTATTTATTCATTTAATTTATAGTGCTGTCCATCTCATGAACAAGTGACTCTGGGCAGCATACAATCCAGCCCTAGTTGGACTCCCTTTTAAAAAATAGTCAGTCCACCAGTCACCCGAGGACAATCAGTTATTGTTGAACTGTATGAGTCTTAAGCAGCTCCAGCCAGCATAGACAAACGTAAGGATTGCTTTAGTTCAGCAACATCTGAAGGACCATAAATTCTCTAACCAGGCAGTAATGTGAGATGATTCACCGTAGTTAAATGTTAATTTCCCACATATTCTCCTTCATATCACTCATCTCAAAAATTGTTGGAAATTAATATGACACTTAGCTGTCTGGCACTAATCATATCATTCCTTGTAAATCTCTTGCTGTTTCTCATTGCTAGAAATATGCCCAAATCTGGAGCTAACTTATTATCGTTGCTTGCTCCAAAGATTGAAATGTATCTTATGTCCTTTTATTGGCTTATCTGAGGAAAGACTATAAAAAAATTTTTAGTTAATCAAAATCAACATCTTAGTTCTAAGCATACAGTTTTCTAAATAAAACAATAAATTGTCCATCTAGAGACCATTAACCTCTTCTTTTAAAAAAACCCTTATAATAACAGAGATCTATACATAGATAGATGACTTTCCTAGAATGTAGTCCTTCTGATTCACTGATGGAAATTTGGCAAATATATACTCCCTTGTTCTTTTACTGCATTGTTTTGTGTTTTTTTTTATTCATCCACAATTTTATTCTGTTTCCAAATGGAAAAAAGAGAATATGACAAGCTTCCATCTGGCAGAGGGGGGGAGGGGTACAATGTGTCATGTAACGTTTTATTGGATGGCATTTCAGTGACTTTTGTCTCTTTCAGGTGGATTTCCAACTCAGACAGAAACCTTTGGACAATCCTCCTGTACCAAAGGCATATAAGAAAAGGTCCCACAATAAACCGCAGCAAAAGAAAATTGTCCCACGGGCTGCCCCATGGCAGACACTATGATGAAAATAGTCCTTGATTAGTTAAAAGCTGAAGGAGCATGTCTGGCATGTAATGTCAACAATAGTGGCAAATGAACTTTTTAAGAAGCACCCAACCCTCTGATGACCCTCACAATCATGAAATGCATCTAAAGCTTTCTGCATATTAAATATATATTTAACTGCATTGTGGACTGAAAACTCTTTCCAGAGGAGGACAGGCATTAGGCTTTTCTGTTTTATGATATTCTAATCAGTCCTGTGTTTTAATTTCTCAAGAACAGTATAGTACTGTAGCTCATGAGAGCCTACATTGCCCTCTTCTGGGCACTGAAGAGTAATCATGGGGGAAAAAATATAATAGGATGTTTTTAATCAGTTGTTTACATGAATATTGGAAAAGTTAGCAATGCATTTCTTCTTGGGGGAGAGGGCATAATATACAAAACAGAAACTGTTAAACATTTGCAGCACAACTTTATACTAAATTATAGAGGCTAATTGTATGTGCTTGCTCAAGCCAGCCCAATATCAGTTTATTCAAATCTGAACTTTTCTACAGATCATTGGGCCTGCAGAGTTTATTCATCTATCTTTGGAGCAGCCGAAATTGTTCCCTCTTCTGACGCTATAGCAGTGGTGGGTTTCACTTTTTTTAGAACCTCTTCTGTAGGTGTGGCCTGCTTTGTGGGAGTGGCTTGCCAGTCATGTGACTGGGTGGGCGTGGCCAACTTGTAAATGTGGTGAAACTCACTTAACAATGCTCTTGCTTAGCAACCCTTTACATCCCAGGGGTGTTCAAACTTGACAGCTTTAAGACTTGTGGACTTCAACTCCCAGAATTCTTCCCCCCGCTCTTCAACTTGATGATGTGTGCACGGGCATGGGGTGGGAGCTGGAATCGGTTCTAAACGACACTGTAGATTTGTGGAAACTCTTCTATAGAAGAGGTTAGAACTGGCAGGAACCCAACTGGCAGGTTACTGCCAAGTGGGACTGATCTGATTATTTGTCTGCAATGCATGCTTCTGGCTTTGCATGCTCCCCTTCAGCTTGCCATGAGTCAGAGGGAAAACCATCTGCACATCAGACCACTATAGTAGGATTTTGTCTATAATTTCTAGGCTTGTTTTTCTATGTTCCTCTTCCAACAATCCATTTTGTCATTACCCAAATTCAATAAAGTGAAGACCAGAATAGACCAGATTTAGTAAGGGAGTTAAGTTACAAGCAGCTCACTCTGAATTTCTCTTCCCTTCATTTTTGCCCTTATATAGAAAGATACATGCAGATTTCCAAATTTCTCTGTGTTCTGTTTAGATTGCAATAGGAGTGGAGGTCAAACACTAGTTGAGCCTCCTATTCTATTTCCCTGGTACACAATTCCACTATTTTGCTATCCACACTTGCATTAAATGGTAAGGATCATACTGTAGAGTTAAAGCAGTTACTGCTAGGTTAGTAATCTAGAACTGTTTTGTAGTTTAATCAATCAGAACCACAATTTTGCTAATTCTGATCCACCAGCAGCACAATGTTTCTATATACAGCTGTATGCAGAGATTAACTACAGAATGACAGCTAGGGACTAGAGGGGAGGGCATATAACCACATCCATTCAAAATGACAAATAAGAACACCCCTGACTCCATCTCCCATTGATTGCCTGACTCTACCTGCAGGTTAATGGTTGAAATATACAATAACAGATTTTACACATTGGACTACCATTGAAATCTCTTGGTGTAAGGAAAAGAACTTATGCCTGTTAGATCGGGTAAAGGAGGCACAAAAGGCTTCAGTAAACAACAGCTCTTTATTGCAAGTCAAGTAAACATCCGGCTGAGGAATGGTCAGACAGCATCCCCTTTTAAAGGGATCTGTCAGACCTCTTAGCCAATGAAATTCAACCTCTGTTCCCACCGGAACAGAGGACCTTGGTGAAAACCTCTTGCAGTCTGTCAGCGGGGTGGGGGGAGGGGGATATCTAAGGATGCCTATTTTACACACAGAGTGAAGATAAGATGAATGCAACATCATTGAAAAAAATAAAAAAAAGATGTTGCCAGTGCATTTTGATACTACACCCAGGTGAAAATGGGAACAAGCCAAAGATTCTTATCACAACTATTGCTACCATTACTACTTCAACTTAAACATCAGTGGTATATAGCAACATATAATTGGTAGCAATGACAGAAGCAACCCTCCTTAAGTTTTTCAAATTGTTTTTTATGCTTGCTGAGTTTCTAACTGTTTGATCACGTTGGCTCTTATTAGCAGTATTTTTTCTGAAGTGGATCCAAGGCCAAAAGCTGGTATTATACATATGCAGAGATAGTTTCATAGTGCCAGTTTTGGAGAAACCCCTCAACTATTATTGTAATTTAATTTTGTACATGAAGTGTGAGGAAGTACTATATTGCCCCACATTTCTGGCAGCAGTGGATTACCCTGTTTTAACATATATTTTTATTTGACATCTGAATCCATAAAACATACAAGATTTGATTTGAATTTTTGATAGTTCAGAATTTCCAAGCTAACGTCTAAATATCCATGAGAAAATAAAAATCCATATTCCATAGGGTATTATTTCATCTGGAATTAGTTTTTATAAAGTTGGTGCAAGTTTTGCAAAGCATTTATCAAAATTGTGAACTATTTCATGAACTTTGAATTTGCTAATAAATTAGTCTTAATGGGAATTTATTTTCCTTATGGGAAGTATAGCTGTTTACATTAATTGACACTAGATGAATACTGCTCTGGAAAAACCAATTTAAGTACCACTACATTTTAAAAAATCATGAAATATAGGTGAGTGATAAAATTTACCTTTTAGTTCTCTGGCATTTCTCCCAACTATTTTGGAACTTAATTTGAAAAGACTTCTAAACACATTTTGTCAGTGAAAATAGAATATTGATACAGAGAATTATTCTTCTTATTGGTTTTCTTTTCCCATGTTTATACTTTTACAGAAATAAGAATAAGATACAAAAACATACAATATATTCAACAGTACCCACTGTTTATAATTATCTTATAAGTTGGAGCTATCCTTAATAAAATAAATAATATAATTTGTTCCAACTGCAAATTGTGTGTCTCTCTGTGTAGCACATGATTTCTGACAAAACTGCTTCTGCTACCTTACTAAAAGGTATAAATAGTAATAAACTAAAAATACAATAATCTGATGGGACAATAAAGTACAGTGGAAGATCCTTGCTTAGCTGAGATTAATACTTCATAAAATAATTAGTGAAAGAAACTGGGTAGTCTTTACAATCTTTCCTAGCATTCTCAATGTATAGCAGTGGAAGAAAACTATCTAAACTAAGATTCAGAGCAGTGGGAAAGAGAGATTCTCAGAATTACACTTTGTAGTATTGTGAGCAATCTGTGGCCTGCTTACTGTCCTCAGTTCCTTCATTTTTCTTTTTCTTTAGCCATGAGTCTCCAGAAATTATGCCACTGAAATTTAGCAGCAAAGTTTTTTTTTAAAAAAAGGAAAGAACAATTTGGGTTATTATTTTAAGTAACAAAAGCTAAAGACAACTTTGGGAGAACTACATAGTGATGGAGGGAAGCAGACTTAGCAAAGGACTACCATAAATTATATCTAATTTGTAACAGAAAGAATATCTACTTGAATTCTCTTCTAATTTTCACTAGGAAATTTGGGTTTCTCAATGAGATGACAATGATACTTAATTTGGGCATTAAGTATTGGAAATTATTTTTATGTACAATAATTTATATACTGTCTTCTAGAATTGTATCAATCTTACTACCATCAAAATAAAACTCATCATCTGCACAAATAGATTAGCTATTTCCAGCTACGTTACAGTCTCTACCCTTAATGCTTGTTGGAAAGGAACTGCTCTCTCTGTTTTCTGAAAGAAAACAGGAAAGAAGCCATATTCATAAGCTGCTCCATAGCAAAGGACTGCAAAGATTGATTCCCTTGTCTCCCTCCACTTTAACCTGTCACAGAAGATGGACTTTCACCCTCTGCTTTCAGAGTGGGCAAAATTGACAGGCAGACTTTGCCTGAATCAACCACAATGGACTTTTAACAGGTGATAACCAGTATCTTGAATTGGACCCAGAAGCCTACTGATAACCAGGGCGGTTCCTATTAGATTGGTTTTATTGGGCTGAACCACTTTGGACCAATTGCAGGCTGGCAGATGAATTCTGACTAGTTCTAGCTTCTGGGACAAGACCTATAGAGTGAATTGCAATAATTCAAATATGAAATGGCAAGAGCAAGAATTACTGACGCCAGAACTTGCTGAGCCAAAAATGGTTGTAAATAGTGCCCCTGCAAGGCTAAGAAAAGGCCCTGGCAGGAGCCATGAGTCCCAGGATCTTCAAATTGCATTTTTTCAGCGCGAGTTCTCTCCTGTCTATAATTTAAGAAATGAGTATATTTATAACCCAAAATGGGAAATTTATAAATATTTCTGCTGCCTGCCAGAAATCTTTGAAAAATATTTTATCCCTATTTTATGGGTGAGACTCAATCAACAGGCTTGAGGACTCTCCTTCACTCCATCTGTCCTTTAAGCATGTAAATCAGTACAAAGATAGCAATAGCAGTAGACTTATATACCGCTTCATAGGCCTTTCAGGCCTCTCTAAGCGGTTTACAGAGAGTCAGCATATTGCCCCCAACA